TGGCACTTTTATCTTTTCCAGATCATATTTCGGCGGTTGTGTTGATCCGTACAGTTTTAGATTCTCGGTTGCCCCATAATCAAATTTACGAAATGATCCTGTTAATAAAATTATACATAAGACATATAAGATTTATACAAAATTAAATATATGTATATGATTAATGAATAATTACCTGATAATATACTTTGACTGTAATGAATAATCTGCTTAGCAGAAGCACCTGCTGGGAAGTGTCCTAAGATTAATGGCAGCATAGACTTGTCTAGTTGATTACTGCCAAATCCAGCAATCAAGTAAAACCAACATACGCAGAAACCTTTAGTAAGGCTACCTGGTGCATTTCGAATTATTGTACCCAAGGTACGTGCCTGCAACCTATTGCGGGGGAACCACTGATGTACATTGCAATAAGAAGATCCCCACTGAAAGATGCTCATTATAGACGTGACAACTAAAAATATTGAAAAATCCCCTGACCAGAGGTGGATATATTTATACATAATTTCAAAGAGTTACTATCTTACTATCTTACTATTTTACTATCTTTGAAATTTTTTAATTTTAAACAATATTATATTACTTGAAAATATAATTATATCTTGAGAAATACATGTAAATAAATTTATTGTATAAATTTTAATTAATTATTTGAAACCTCATCGTTAAATCTAGCGAAAGAGAACAACACTGATAAATTATATTTAAATATTCTTAACTACTTGTTTAGAGAATCGAAGGAAGCGTGTAAACATACTTAACTATCTTCAATGGTATTTAAAAAATAAATCTAAAATCTAGAAAAAAAATGCATAGTTTTTCTTATACTTGAATTTTTTCATTGTTGTAACCTAACCACCTCCGATCATAATTGAAAATTGTTGTATATATACATATATTTGTAAACGTACCTCCATTATGCCATAAAAGTGAACAACTAATTTAAGCAAAGGACTCCTCTGATTCGACAGAAATGCTATCGGTGCAAGACTAATCATCCCTTTAATTTTACGATTGTATTCAGATTTTTCACTGGCCATTACATAAAATGCAGTTGTACCTTGACTGTAGCCTATATAATAAAGCTTGGTATGTCCTGTATGTTCTAAAATGTAATCTATAGTTGCTGGTAAGTCATAATAACCAACTTCGTGCCAGCTAAAAGATTAGTGAAATTATTCACCTGCTAATTAATACAATTAACATGTATTGTATATTTAACTACCAGGCTTATATTTTTATTTATTTATTTGCTCTTACGCAATTTAACTCCTTCAACTACCGGACTACTTTCGCATAAAAATATACTATACCTGAAATCCCAAAATTCTTTGTCTTTGGTTGTATATTTCTTATGCTTCTTGGAATACGCATTACCTCTTGCATTTCCCAACCAAACGTCGTATCCGTTATCGGATAAAATATATGCCAAAGCCTTTTTCGGACCCAATAGTACCCAGTCGGCTGAACTCGATAAAAGTCCATGATGAATAAGGATCGGTACTCGAACCTTTGTTTGTCGACATAAATTTGAACTTGTAACGATTTCAAATATACTTTATGGAAAATGAGACGATACCACAGCTTTTAGAACTAGAAGAAAACAAGAAGTTAAATGTTACCTCTGGTGGTTTCTTATAATTTAAGTCATCCGCATCGTTCTCGCTAATATCGTAACACGAAATTTCCCTCGACTTTGGAGGAAGCACTCGATGCACGTCTAAACAATATCCATCTTCTGTCCAAATATGATGTATCTCTGCCGTATAACCATGGGCTTCGATAAGTTCAGACTAGAAGAATTATATATTACTAATTATTCTTACATACTTGAACATTCTTTCAATGTCATATTAATCCTGAACGGAATAAAAGGTAAATGTATTTTCACACTATGATATCAATATATAAAAACGAGGAAGCGAATAGAAAAAATAATTGAAATACATCGAATATCGAATTGTCATAAAAGAATATCGTATGGAATAAAATGTTAATCTTAGAATAAAGGATCAGTGAGGATTCAACATTTTCTTTTAAATAATTGAAGCGCTACTAACAATAGCCGCTACGAATAAATAATTGTAAAAGAAAAAAAAACAACTTACTGTCGTCATGTGAATCTCATCCTGATTGGCTACAGCGTTCATTATACGAGCAACTGACGAAAGAAGCTGATTTCCGTGACGCAGAAATATCGTTTAACTTTCACCAGCAATTACTTCGTTTCCTCTTGTTATTTTCCTTGATCTCTGACTTTGTTTTCACCGAGTGCCGATTAAGCGAACAGCAGATAATTTTGCCGACTTCGGTTTTTGTATTATTTAAGCGTCGAACGATTGAGGAATATCGAAATGATTTCGCGCCGTTCGATTCTTCGAGATGCAACTCAAACGCAAACAGGCCTCGACACGCTTGCAAAGCGCACTGCGATACACACTGTTCCAGTGCATGAAGCGACAAACAGAAATGATTCACGCGCATGCGTAGTAATTCGTCAATTTTCTAATAGTCGAAACCATAATTGCGCCTAAATATCGTATCGTTCGAGATATGTTACGTTACATTTCTTCTTTGACACGAATCTCTGCAGAGATATCGAGTAAATGGTGAATTGTAAACATGAACTCTCGAGAATTCACTTGACGCCGTTGACCGCAGACGACTGAGACGACTTTATGGCGTCTGTTCGATCTTCGCGCTTGTTGGTTCGTATAATACGTTTCACAGTACATTCTTCCCGTGACGCGACCCGACCAAAGTAGCGACATTGTCCATTCGTAAGGGATGATAGCGTCCCCTTCGAATTCTTTCCACGCGTGCTCAGTCTGTTATACATAGTCTTTTACCATTTTAAAAGCCACGCTGGAAACTTGGCTGTAAGAAGAGATAACTCGTGTCCGAAATTACTCAAAGGAAATTTGCGGATTTCGAAGAGATCGTAAACAATTTGAGATCTCGTGAGTTTTCGAATGTTGAACAACGCTCCGGAAAAATCGCTGAAAAGATTCTAACATCCGCGGTATCCTAGTTTCTTGTCTTCTTCTGTTTGGGGGTTTGTTGCAGTGAACGTGTTAGGCTCCACCCAAACTTGTCACCGCGACCTGTTACTCGGGCCAGTAGGTCATGGTACAGAAATATATACATGTACGCACATCTTTGCCGGCACTCGTTACATAAATATTGGAAATATCGTACATATACCTAAGAGACAGGTGTGGTAAAAGCCGAGGTGCGATGTAACAAGTTTGGACGAGACCTTAAGCGCCCTCTAAATTTCTCTATAGGTATTCCGACACGTGCATCGAAAGTCCGAAGATTCGTACCTATACTCGTACGATATTGTTTGATTAAGGCGTGTGCATAATAATTGAAATCATTTCTTTTCGAAGCGGGCTGAACTGTGTCTTACGTTGGTACCTATGGACTGCCGATCTGTTCTCATAAATGCGCGGACTTTCAAAGTATTTTCATTTATCATTCGTCAAGTAAAACATTAAATATATCAACATTTTAACATTCGTATTAATGTAATTTGTCGTGTTACGTTGGTAGAATGTCGAGCAATTATTTCAGATCGAATCGAGTGTCGAGTTACTAGCATGGAATAAATTAATGAAACAAATGGCAAACGTAGAAAATAGAAGAAAGTACTTCCGCGTCGACGAACATGTAACTTGGTTGCAACGGCGTATGTAGCATCGATTCGATAAATCATCCATCGGTCGGAATATTGCTCCATCCCCTGCTTCGATAATGGTGCAAAGTTCACCTAAATGTTTTCATTTCTCAAGCTTTATGTTTTCTTACGTCAATCCTAAGCATTTCGAGCGAACCGAGGTCTAGAGATTAAGGAGGCCACAGTCGTCGGTTCAGACATATACTTTTTTAAGGACGTTGAACGTACCAACGTTTCTGAAATCCTCAATGGCTCCTCTGAGACATTTAAAGGAATATTCCCCGTTAATCGAAATTAATGAATTATTTATATTTACAATTAGATTTACTCTTCTGTTAAATTCGTTCGAGAACAAGTTAACCGAGAATGCTAGATAATTCTGTGAATTTCGATCGACGTCATTACACACTGGCTCAACAGTTTTGTAACGATCGATTTTAGAGATGCGAATCGTGCCTCCGAATGCGGTCGTTGTTTTCCGGGATATTTGTTTGTGCTTGACACATCAGCGAATGAACTGGTGTTTCAAGTAAACAATATACATGTTGAAAACAAACCGTTTTATAAATATTTTGTCCCCTGGCAGTAGATGATAATGAATATCCTTCGTAAAAAAATCGCAAATCACAACATAGGCTCCATCGGTCTGTTGAAGAAGAAGAAATGAATTGTATCGGTAGATTTCGATGGATTTCCGAATCTTCCGAATCCAAAGAAAATACATTTAAATTGTTTACAAACAGTCCTGCTTTCATTACAAACATTTTATCAGAATTAATAAAGGTAAACAATAATCTTCGAAAACAAAAGTCAATTACAATTGTTTTATTGTAAATACACACAGGATAACAAAGTTTTAACTTTCTTTCATTTTACTACAAACTTTACTTACAAGACAGTAATCGATCACATCAAATTTATTTTAATATATTCATACTTTGTATAAGTTTCAACACTTCGTTATATGCGAATATATAAAACAATGATCAGTCGATTCTATTTCATTAGAATAGATGATATTCTATGTCAGTTATTAGCAATATGTACTCTATAAAGGAAAACACTGGAAACAGTTACTGTTTAGCCAGTAACCGTGCGATTCGTTTCAATGTTTTGATTAAATCTACTCTCTGAATAAATGCTGGTTTTCGTACTAGCTATCTTTTACCTTTCGTCGACGATAGCAATTCGATTAGTAACCTTTCTCATGTTCCTGTTTCTTTCTTAAATAACGATAAAACATTATTTTTACTTTTAAAAGTTATTGCTTTCAACTTTAAAGAAAATATTCAGCTATACAGTTAACCCTTTTGCAAAATAGATATTGAATGCAAATGACTTTACTTGTATATTTTTAGTATTCTACTTCTGTGTATCTCTTTTGTCTTTATGCAAAATGTTTCATTATTATTAAACTTGTGTAACACTTTTCAAATGGAACAAGTCAGATTATACTATTCTTTTTGAACGTTTTGTACGAAATAAACGAAATACATACACATACAAACGGATGAATAAAGTATATCAATGCACAAGTGATTAATGTAGTACAAGCGTTCATTTTTTCTCCTCGTATTGTATAAATTGTGCATTATAGGATATGCCGTATAAGAGTGTAGATGTATATTTACATTTATATTTATATTTATATTTATATTTATATTTATATTTATATTTATTATTTATATTTATATTTATATTTATATTTATATTTATATTTATATTTATATTTATATTTATATTTATATTTATATTTATATTTATATTTATATTTATATTCATGTATTCGTATTTATATTTATATTCATGTATTCGTATTTACAGAATATCATCAGAAAAATGATGTTTAATTTATAGAATTTCAAAAGATGTAAGATGCAAATGAAAGTGTTTAAATATGTAATACATTGTTGAAAACATCAACTTTAGTATAACGATTCTGTATCGTAAATAAAAGCAGATCGATGATGCAGTTCGCAACATAAATGTTACCTAAAAATACCTTCTTTTAACATATATGATCTATGTATCAGGTACTTTGAGATTCTAAAGTTAACTGTTCTATACAAGCGTGTTCATCTTGAGTTTCTATTTCACGAGATGTATCAGTATCTAAATGTATTTCTTCTATTGCTCGTTTGATCTGAACTCGTAGTTGACCAGCAACTTTTTTTACTGCCATGTGATTATGTTTTACTTGTTTTATGCAAGGTAGTAAACCTTTCCACGGAGCAACACTTGTACAAGAAAGATAAAGTTCTTTCCATAATTGAATACTAATTGGTGCAACACTGGGCCAGATAACTCCTGAATTTGGCTCGTATAAAGGATTTAACCATTTCTCTAATTCTTCCGGTTGATTTATATACGACCACAAACTACATGTTCGTTCTGATAATCGAAGACCAACTCTTTCTGCTTCTGAATTACCTAAAACATCGATAACGAAGTTGTTTAGGAAATATGAGAATACAGTTACATGAAATAATTATACATTCACAAACATGAATTGGCACGCGCATACCTAGGAATGTTCCAAAGTTAGAGCAATATGCGTGATTATACAATTCACTTAATAATTCTACCGTATACTCGAAGCTAAATTGGAATTGATAATGTAGTTGATAAAGGCAATCTAAAAAAAGAAGAAAAGTTGGAGCATGTGTTGAATTTTGTGAATTTGCCGGATGGTATGGTCCGTGACGTGTACGATTGAAAAATTGATGGCCGGCTTGTATCCATTCGCGTTCAATTAAAGCCTGAAGACCGCGTATTGTTCTGCAGTCCGGATTTAATATTGCTTGAGCTAAGCTAGTTACTACTAAAGTAGAATCTCTACCAGCACTTCCTGTTCAAAATGTAACTAATATCGTTTCACAGTACTCTACAATTATTATGATTAATTCAGTTTCCTTGTAAATCTCGTACCGTGAACCAATACAGCTGCAATTTCTTGATGAAGACACTGAGCAGTTACACAAGCAGCATTTAAAGCGCTCTGCACGGCAGACAGCCATCCACTATTATCGAGTCTTGAGAGCCATTGGGAAGTAGAACATGTCACGTCGTTACAAGCTTCTATCAATTTGAAAAAACTATCCGCTAAATCGTTTGGACGTGGAATTGCTTTATGCACTTTTCGCCATTGCGGATAAGCAGCATCCATTTCTGTGCCACCACCTTTGATTCTACAACTTTGAGCTTGGCTAACGGATCTTGTATCTACTATGTAACTATTGAAAAAATATGTATTAGCGATACAGTTAAACTTACGACGATGGAAGTAATCTTATTATAAATTCTTGAAAAGACTTTATTTACCCACGTCTGCCTGGACCTAACACTGCATTTAATAATCTTTCATCCTCTTTGCATCTTTTGCCTGTAGTACCGCACATCGGTTGACTACTTCTTAATAAAACACTCTGCAATATCGATTAATCATTGGACAAATAATAAAAGTTTATAGCATGTAATTACTTTTGTTCTCTGTTTCATTACTGTGTATAATATTGTGTCATACCCCGCCGTCGTGCCTATAACATAGAACAGGAAATCTTCCGCCATCTCTAAAATTAGCAGAAGATATTATAACTTTATCTTCTATGTGACGAGGTACTATAACAGCGGAAGGATAAGAATTGCAAATTTTATATTCTTTATTTAAATAACTAATACGCCATTCGTCCGCATGAGCGGTCAACAATTTAGACCACTCGGAAACAGGAGCAAATGCGCTCCATCCATCCTCTATTTGTAGAGTAATATTACTGATCGTTTGCGGTCTGTTGAAGAAAGGATATTGTAGAGTTTGCTCTGGAAGAAAAAGATTCGGTAATCAATAATGAGATATTAGTTTTTCTATTATACAACAGATACGTATGTCACCTTGCGACGTTAATTTTTCTATAGATAGAGCAGCATTCGTCAAGTCATCCACCGAATTGATATCTAATTGGAGAATCCGGAAATCTTTGCACTTTAATATAATACTACCACCCGGGCTTTGAGTATTGAATTTTTTCTCTATAAGATCAATGTTTCGATACAAAAGCTAAAAAACACATTGAAAAAATATTGGAAAAACTGAAAAGTATGTACACTTAAAATTAATGAACTTTCATTTGAAATAATCGTAATTCTAGATAAAATAGTTTTCTTTATAAATTATACCCAGAGTTCTTGCCGCGAGTCTTGTCGCGACGACCAAAGAAGATGATGGCTACTAATGCACAATGTTCCATCTATGGATTTATTATTTCCATCGGTTTTATCTATTAGTACAACATTATTAAGTTTTGGAATCAATATTAAGTCGCTAAGTTCCATTGTGCGTCTACTTCGATCGCAGATACTTCAAGTACGAATTGTTAGTGATTTCGAGAGAAATATAAATATTGTGACAGCTTTGCATAACCTAACACGGGTGTCTCATAAAACCATCGTACATGGAATTTGTTGTAACTCAGTTGAAACGAGACAACTATACGTGTTCGTGTAAATATTGATTGGAAATCGTACAGATTCTTTAACGGTCTTCTTACAATGCATCTATTTTGTTCAGTGCGAACTGAAAAAGTGAAATATCGATTGCTGCGCGTCTTGTTTACTTCAAATCACATACATCGCGTACATCATGTACAGAAATTTCACCGACAGAAACTACATATCTATAACGTTGCCCATTAGATTCTCTGAGCACACGCACGAGTTATCATTGGCATAACAACACTTTTTTCGCCTCAACAGATAATTGGCATTCGTCGCAAAGTTTAAAAAGTACAAGAAAAAGAAATGGCACGAATTGCTGTTGAAATATTTATTTCGAATAATGTCAAATTGCTTGTACAATTTCGTTCGATTGATATCGTATGTTGCATAGAAATAATCGTTACTTGAAGCGTCCCAATGGTAGGTCGAGATTCCTCTTATCAGTTTTATGTTATAAATAATTGCACGCACACGAGCTTCTGCAGACGATTCAGAACTCGTTGCATTATGTTATAGAATGATGTATAGAATTTGTAGAACAACAGGTTACAAAGAGACCCCGAGTTACTAAGCTTTTATCGAGACTGCTGAACATTTGATTGACAGTAAAATTAAGAGTGAAATTTACAGTGAAATTTACAGTGAAATTTACAGTGAAATTTACAGTGAAATTTACAGTAAAAGATGAGAAATGTTTTCGTAGTAGGTGTATATTTCAGTATGTAGATAGGTAGGTAAAGAGAACAGTAGAGAATGACTTGGCGCCCTCTACTCGATAGAACACTCAAGCTGTTGTTGAGATCACACGAGTGCTAGTCGTTGGTATTACAGATTAGTATAGATTTAGCAGACTATACGGAATTGACTCGTTTCACTATAATCTCGTATTTAATTTGTACAGTTTATAGAAATGCCTCGTATAATATTCTTTGTTGTCTACCTTCTGTTGGAATTTCAATATCATGTTCTCGCGTTAGTTATCCTTGAAGCACACACAGCCACGAGACTGTGCGAGACTACGTTTGAATCGTTGCGTTCTTTTTCTAATGGCTTTCGAAGCTTTACGTTCTTCAGTCGATAAGGGAGGAAGGTATCTCACTGATCTTGTATCGTCACTTATTTCCGATTATTTCATTCTGGAAGAAAACGAGTTTCGAACGTTGTCCCTCGCAATGTTCGCTGTTTACTTTACTTTGTTTTCCTTAACGAATAAACGACATTGTTTTCCGGACATTCTATTCACATGTTTGAATTCACTTGAATTTGTTCTTTATATTTTTGTGTTTTCACAGTTTTTTTCAGGAGAATGGTGAAAAAATAATGACTGCCGTTTACATATTAGACGATATTTTATTTTATTTTATTTTATTTTATTTTATTTTATTTTATTTTATTTTATTTTATTTTATTTTATGTTATTTTATTTTATTTTATTTTATTTTATTTTATTTTATTTTATTTTATTTTATCTTATTTTATCTTATTTTATCTTATTTTATCTTATTTTATCTTATTTTATCTTATTTTATCTTATTTTATCTTATTTTATCTTATTTTATCTTATTTTATCTTATTTTATTTTATTTTATTTTATTTTATTTTATTTTATTTTATTTTATTTTATTTTATTTTATTTTATTTTATTTTATTTTATTTTATTTTATTTTAGTATTTGCATGTACATTTTTCCAAGTTTAAATTTAATATTTATTTTAAATAGAAAACGGACTGGTCTGAGAACATTATATGATTATTAACACAAATCCATATTTTTATGCTCTATGTCAGAATACAATTAATAATGGTAATGGTGATGGTAATGGCAGTGGTAATGATAATGGTAATGGCAATGGTAAGGTTAATGCTTATGTTAATGATAAGGTTGGATTTTTCGTTGGTTACGTACGTGTCCGGAAGATCTTGAGGGTCCTAAGGTCGTGATAAATAAACGATATTAGACACGTATACGTATAATGAATATGTATAGAGAAATATAAGGTTTCTCCAAGTACCTACCTACGAGGCTTAGTAATACGGGTAAAAATATGAGGCCATGCGCAGCACCGAATAATACTATTCCCAAGTACATTCGAAAATAAAACACTTGAATAATTTGTGTCTTGGAAAATGCCAATACAACGATTCCGATAATCTTGGTCAAAGTAATGCCAGAGAAGACCTACGAATGCAACAGGGAAGAGAATGGTTGGTTCAGTTCGTAGATATTATACTAGAATGTAGTGCACTCACAGAACTTCCGATCTCGTTAAGCGTTTCTGTAGCTCGATCGACGCTTGTCGTTGCCGTCGAATTCAAATAGGAGTGAATAATGTGACTGCAGAATTCAACGGAAATACCGACAGCCTGCACAGAAAAATTGAACGCATCATCAGCGAAGAAATACGATGAAGGTGTACCATCGCGGTGAAACTTATCGAAGGGAGTATCGATTTTACGTACCATTATCAAGTTAACCAGAGATACTGCATTCAATTCGATATGCCACCAATACATCAGGCCAGCTATATTTACGATAATCATGAGTACGGTCAATACCACCATTACTGCAGAAAACAAAGAGAATCCTGTCAAAAGCGCCGTGACCAAAAATATCACACAGAGCGAGAAGCCCAACGATGATATAGCTTCTTTCCAAATAGTAAGGTACTGTTCGTAATAAACGTAGAATACACTGAAAATCAAATCTAATAATTATATCGAAGAAAAGTTACACGGTACGAAACGATACATGTCAGGGCAGAAGGTATTTCACCGTGACGCGACCTTGAGATGTCGATAAACATGAAAAGGTTGAAACAAACCTGTATGGAAAGACAGTTATCTCCTGCTGCGCAAGACCTTTGTTATTTATCATTGTTGTGATTTGTTTAGCTATTAATCTAGCAGATTTCAGGGCTTCGTACCAATCCGAGGACTTCTTTAACGGTGTGTGATAACCCATGAAGTAACTATCGCCGACATTTGTTAATCCGTGCTCGTCAAGATAATAGTTCATTCCCTGAAAACCGATATCGTTCTTTGTATGTAATAAAGTATGTGGTGTGTAATAAAGAAGAGACACGATCTTACGTCGAGATAGGAAGGTCGGCCAGATTTTGAGCACATGGCGTCCGGTATGTCTTGTAGGAAATAAGGTATATATTTTCGAAAACTGCTCGCCAGCGGTCGAGCATTATCTTTTTCGATTGGGCAAGGCAAACACTTGCTGTCTAAAATAAAAGAAAATCGGTCGCAAACACATGAAAATTGTATAAATCGTTGGAATCGTTGAAATCGTTGAAATCGTTGAAATCTTTGAAATGGAAATTGAGCAAATTACCGTCGTGTGGACAAAAGGACTGATTATTCGGAAAGTACTTGCAACATCCTGCATTAACCGACCAGTCGATGTAATCGTCTATCCAGGATGAGGCTGCTTTGGATAAATGAGACCTGAAACGCGGCAATTCGATAAGGTCTGCTACAGCCAACTATACGTTCTACGTTCTACGAGGCCCCTTAAAGAAGGGCTGGCGATCTGCTCGATTGCGACAATGTCGTAACATCAAGAGTGGTTTGGTATTTCTTTTGGTATTGCTTTTGGTATTGCTTTTGGTATTGCCAACTTGTCATGATCGAGCAGCTCGGTCTTGGTTTTCCATTCTGTAAGTAAGTTGGCATATAAAAGAACCAAGCAAGTAACTACGCATCTAATAGATACCCTCCGTTATTGTTAGTATGTATTGTAAAGGGATTACAAACTCTGCAGGTCGTTTAGCTGCCGAGTATATCTGCGCATACAAAGAATCATCAGTGCATCCTTGACCTCCACAAATGATATTCTGAACACTCGTGTTACTGTAATTCAGTCCAGGAGTGAGTACAAAGTAAACCGGTGGTCCCATTGACAAAAGATCGTCCATGTACTGAAAGTATCATAGCTACGTATAAATCGCTATTCCGATCGTGAAATATCAACGATATCTTTTTCTCGAAACAATAAGACGCATCTCTCACCTGAAAGTACTTTAAAACGTACGAATCTGCGGGCATCGAAAGCTTTTGTTCCAAACCGATACTGATTTGCGGCAATACTATAGCATGGGTTAACAACATGCCGAAGAATACGATTAACACGATTATTCGAATCGGCGTTTTCATGATGAAAGGCGAATAAACTCGTTTAAAGATCGTTTGAATCAGGCTGAAGTTTTCATCGACTTTGCAGTTTCTCTCTCCTTTCGTCTTTATACAACAAAGTACGTCCAAGTAGTTGTTCTGAAATACCAGATACCCTCGTTAGATGGAACGTTTGCAACCATAACTACGAAGAGTTGAAATGCCGTGCCTGAGATCTGTGAGCATCCAACGATAGAAGACTGACGAACGCCGTCATTTGCAACAGAAAATTGATCAGAATAGACACCGACGCGTAAAGTGCAAAAGTATTCACGGCTGGCATAGAGGAGAGTGTCCCTGTGGGAAAATCGAAAATCGAAAATCGATAAGTGAACGGTGTTACATTATGTATCCAAGTGGTTCGTCGTCTCGAACGATACACCAATTGGAACTGTTGCAGTAGTAGAATACCAACTGATCGGTACCAACCGATTAAAAAGCAGAAGCACTCGGATGTACTGGTAAGTAACATTGACGGACCCACTTCAGCCAAAACTTTCCCTATGTGTTGCGGTATAGATTCCTCGGCGCGCTTCGGCATCCTTTCGTGCGTGTGAACCAAAATAAAAATATTGTCCACACCTACGGCCAACACCAAGAATGGAATCACCTGCGCGCGAATTACGTATACTTATTAAAGAACTGGACAGTTGTTATGTCTTTTGGCACATCGTTATGACTTTCGACTTTCCTTACCTCTATCGTGAGCAACGCCGTTGGTACTCCGATATAACCGAACAAACCAAGAGAACAAGCTACGGACGCCATTACTATTACGATTCCGCCGATACTGAGCATTATTTTACTATTTATCTGAAATCATGAGAACGGTAAGAAGAGAAGAGAAGCGAAACGAAACGAAACGAAACGAAACGAAACGAAACGAAACGAAAGCAGTGGAAAATCCTTGGACACGTACAAGATAATTCTTGAAAGAACATTTTATTCTCCCCAAGGCAAACGCTACGTAAACGAACATGAGCGTGTAACTGTACACTGCCGTCAAAACCTCTGCTTTCGACGACCGTTCTAATTCATCTTGAATCGATTTCTCGGTTGTGTATGCCACCTCCATAAAGTCTGGTCGGTCCGTAGCATCCCATTCTCTCATAAAATCTATGAACCTGAATCGTGTAAATGATATTCGTTGGAGTATCGATTCCTGTCCAATTCGTTTGGAGAATTGGACAATTCGGTACATTACCTCTGCTCCCATTTGCGCGTCTCTTCCAGTACAGACTCGTTTAGCGAATTTTTCACCAGAAACGATAGAATTAGTCCTGTCGCGTTGATATAATCTGTCGCATTGTAGTTGAATTCGTTCTCGCGTAGAAATCCCCCGTAAGCTATGGCTGGCAGTACCGGTCCTTTGTACGGCGCCGTACACCCGGGATCGAACGCGTTTCTGCCAAGAGGAGAACGGAGACAGTTTTCTCACGCCATTTCCATCGAAATGCCAACCTACTCGCCGACTACAGTAAAGGCCACTTACTGTGCACACTGGTACAAATGGTCCAAATAATTTCGTTCGTACGTTCCATTAAATTTCTCGAGGCTGTTTTGAAAATATCCCCAAACGCTTTGTACCGTGCAGTGATTTAAAGTAGTGGGCCCGGTGAAATCATTTTGTATCGGTGCGTAACAAATTCGTTCCAAACCTTCCCCTTCATCTTGACCAAGCTGTAAACGTTTATCAGAATTCGCAAACTGCATTAGAAAGCTGATATCCTACCCGCAGAGCCAAGGGACTTTTGTAACGAGAAACTTACGTCGAGTATTTTCTTCTGTAGATCGTATACAGTGAGCAAAAATGTCCGGTTGAAGACGGGACCGAATTCGAGGACATCGTTCGATGTGTTGTGCAGCACCTATATAGATTCGGATAGACAATGAAAACTTCGGTTCAGATAAATATTCGAAATAGCAGACGGGAAGAAAATTCTTTCACCTTGCCGAGTCCTTTCGACTTGATGTAAACTTGCTCCGTTCTATAGAACGGTTGGAACCGAGAATCGAAATAATCCTTCTCGATTCTCGATCTACTGGTATCTGCAGCCCAAATTTCTATGGGATCGCTGATGATGTTCAGTTGCGTAATTCCGTAGCTCAGCCCCAATATTACGTACGAACAAGCGAAAAGCGTAATCATCGGGTACTTTGCGAACACTGAAATTTCGAGAAATTATGGAATTTTCTACGAATTTTCTACGAATGTTATTCGAAGAATACTCACATTCGCCGGAAACAGCAAACAGCTTTCGAAAGACCTTCTGAAAATTTCCGCGACATATCCCTCCCGATTTATCGGTGATCTCCGAGTCTGTCTCCTCGATCTCAAACGTACCATCTGCAACGGCAAACGGTATAAAGATCGGTATGTCTAGGTATACACCGACTTACACGCCTAAACAAGTTACCTGATCGTTGAAATCTTCTGAAAAGTTTATAAGCGATTACAGCTGCCGAAACGAACACGACACTGAAGATTGCTGCTATCACTCCGTAACCGTCGTGCCCGAAAATTAGAAAATCTGAAGGTTCGAGGTTTATTTCGTAATTGCAACCCGACGGACAGTCGGTACAGCTGCACGCTGATAAACTCTGTACATCGTATTGTGCAATACACACTTGATTAATAATAAGTAATTATTTGATTGGGTTCTAGTAGAAAACGCGTGTTAGTTGTTCAAACTTACATTGTATCTTTCGCTGCATTTTTTCGCTGACTTATTCCAAAAAGTGTTGTTAGGAATAAAATGTAATCGGAAAGCTATGAAATCGTTTTCATCCGGATTACCCTGATATTCGTACCACCTGGAAGAATATTCATCCGTAGAACCTACGATACTTACTTGTCGTATACACGTGTACATTTCGAATCAGGCGTTTCCAACTTACTTCTCTGCTGTGCATCTACCAGCACCGTGAACTCCGCATGCCAAGTCCATAGCTAAATTTCCACTTGCCGGGTGAACGATGTTCTTACAAGAATCGAAAGTATCACTCATGTACTCCTCTGCGACATATGCCTAACGCGTAGAAACATCGAAACGTACTATGTATTGTAGTATCGTAATATAAATGTGCATACGTATACATGCATACATGTGTACGCATACCACAGAAACAAGTAATCGTACCTCTATTTCTGACACGTATGTGCCTTTCGAATTGTTTCGAGTCTGAGTTACTCGTAAAAATCGACTTTGTTCAGGACTGCAGGTCAAATCACATATCAATAGCAATGCATTTCTTACACATGTCGGACACCTGCCGAATATACTCTCAATCATGTTTATTTGGCCGAGCAGTGTTTCAATATTCCCACTGTCGCAACATAATTTTGGCGTATCTGAAACGAGTCCGAGGAAATTGAATATTAGGATAGGATTTTCTCGATTCGCGCCTCTCGGGCTGATTTTCGATCTGATTTTCGATCTGATTTTCGAAGAAACGAACTTACCGGTGCTATTATCAAAGTACTGTGGACATTTCTCGCTAAGACGCTTCGCAACTACCGCGTCGTCAATTTGTCGAGGTGAATCGTTCGATACGCATGTTACACGATTTCCGCTATCATTTTCCGAACAATCTCCGTACCATACGCAACGCGGTGGTTCTGCGAGGCAGTGCGTCACCGTTAAAACGCAACACAATATCAACAACGTGTCGAGTTTTATTCGGTTGCGTTTCACGATGTCGCGATTCATTTTTACTTTCTCCCTTTCTCCTTTTCTCCTTTTCTCCTTTTCTCCTTTTCTCCTTTTCTCCTTCTTCTCTTCCCCCTTTCCTCTTCCTTCTTTCCCGTGTTTTCTTTCGACAAAAATTCCGACTACATTCCACTGAATAATTGTAATCCTTACTACGGCTGGTGTACCAGTAGGTACACTCTACTTACCTTCTTCCCTACGTGCGATGCAGTTACGTCGACGAATCGGGCGACACACTCGTGATTATTTTCCAAATGGTTAATTTTCATTTATCGAAATAGACGCGTTCAACTTGAAATCGACTTGGATCGATCTTACAGTGGTTCTGCGAATCAGTACCCGAACTCACTGCCCGTTTCGTTCGCGCCCGGCAAGCGATTCCGATTGCTTTGACCAAATCTTGAGTTAGCTCCCAGGTGTTGGTCTATCGTTCGAATATCTTATCTCAATGTCAAGTAACACTCTCAATTAAGCAGGAGAAAATGTATAAAACCATATAGCGCTTCTGAACAATTACAAACGCATCGAAAAATTTATATCGCACCGTGATACGATAGAACGATTACAAATCATTTTGATCGTTGGATTAGTGAACTCGTGCACACCTGCCGGTTTAGTGATATCACCGAATGAAAAGAAAGATCAAACGCACGATAGTAGGCCGTCAGCTGGAATCGCGCGGTCTAATCGAAAATATTTATCCTATTCGATTTTATAAAGGAACGTGGTAATACTAAAGAAGGATTCGTCTGATCGGGATACCTGGATGCCTTGCACGTATCGAAATATATCTAGATACGTCACATTCTATAAATAATAACAACAACAACTCGGTCAATCGTTAGACTGGATAATCATATTTTAATGACTCAATGATTGTACAAATGGATCACTCCCCAACGTTTTCGCGTAACCGAAGAACAGTAATCGTAATAAATACAAGAATGATTGCACTTGTAACGTTCCTTTCTAATTTCTAATTATACAATAGATGAAAACGTAAACAATATGCAATTTCTATCGCAGCGTATGCGTTCGTGCGTGGATTCGTTTCATTTCCGACTCATCGTCGTCGCGCGAACTTGTGTGCAGAAAAAAGAAACAAAATAATCTGGAAAAACTCGTTACAGTTTTATTTTACCCTATCTGTGTTTCGTTACAACGCGACCCCAACCCAGTGAATTCTGCTCCATAGTCATATATTATTCCCCCTTACAATCTATAATAATTCTATCAACCATCTAAAAACTTTGTGTTCTCGGGACACTCGAATGGTATGGTATTTCATTCGATTCTTTCTTTTCCCTTTGTCCCAATTCCCTTCACCCCGACCCCTCTCACACGCACACGCGCACGCTCACGACACGCGCGCACACACACACACTCTCTTTCACTCACTCTCTCTCTCTCTCTCTCTCTCTCTCTCTCTCTCTCTCTCTCT